GTTTTAAAAAAAAAAAACAATAATTTTTTTTTTACAAAATGGGTTTTAAAAAAAAAAAAAAAACATTACAAAGCTAGTTTTGATAGCTGCAGTGGAATAATAATAATAATGAAAAAAAAAAGTAATAATCAGAAAACCTTAACTTAAATTGGTTGGTCATTTTCATGAATTATGACACTAGTTGATTAAGCTGAACAAACTTGAAGTAATCAAAAATTATAGTGAAAAAATCCCTGTGGCAGTGTTGTGATTAATGGGTAGTTAATCAAAAACCGTAATAATCAGAATCACTAGTTTTGATTAGATTATTTTTATATTAATCGGTTTAATCATAATTTTGATTCCTGAATAGTTAGAATAACTGAAAAAAAAAGTAATAATCTGAAATACTAGTTGGTTATATTTTATGACATGATCACTTTGTTTATTTTGTGACATCAGTTGATTTAAATGATGCTTATAAGTATTTGAGTTAATCATCTAGCTCTACTCTTTTAGTTTGTATTTTCAGTAGGATTTCTTAAAAAAAATGTTAGTTAAATGTATGATTTTTTTTAGTTACCTTGCACTCGCCACAGAGAAGCTATATAATAGGATTTGAAGAATATGTAGTATTCACCAGACAAGTTGTTTAAAACAAAAATAAATAAATCCAATCTATCATATGATTTGCCACTTAAGTCAATGACAAGTATTTAATCAAATGAAAGATTGGGTTTTATATTTATTTCTAGTAACTTTTTAATTAGTTATACAACTGGTATATTGGCTTGATAGTAAGAATTTCTTGGGATACTGGTCCAAACATCAGTTATTGGTTCAAAACTGTTTAGTTCTCTCCTGATGAAAGATTTAACAGATTTCGTTCTTCAGTACAAGTTAGTTTGAAGAAGACATTTTGACTTGCTAGCTTCAGTTAGGCTGAATAAGGACTTGTTAGTATATTCATATAAATGCATAAAGCTCATTTAAGCATTTGAGATTATTCTAAGCATGATTTTTGCACTTTAAATTTTCTGGATATTTGAATCTTTAGAAAGCATTTCCTCTTCTTCAGGTTCAGGTTTTAAGTTCAGCATTGGTAGAAAATAAATTTGTGGAGGTTTTTTTTTTGTTATAAAAAGCAATTTAAATTATAAACTTTTTGAACATTTAGGGAGAAATAGTAAATATGAGAGAAAATCATCTCCAGTTGTTGACTTTTATTCTGGTTCACACAATAACCGTTGTTGCTCATGTAACTGATGATATAAATAGTGCTTTTATCATTTCTGTTGTATTGCAGCTATTCTGATGAGTTCTAGTATTGGGCAAAAGGCAGCATTGGTGCTTGATATGTCAGATGTAGTGTTGTTGACTTATTCTTTGCTAAGTTCTCATAATAACTAATGTGATTTTAGTCTAGTGGTTAGGGTTTCAAGTTTTAATCCCTGTTGCTGAACCTTTTCAACTGTTTGGGTGCTATAATGTGACATTCAATCCCACTATTTGTTGATAAAAGAGTAACCCAGGAGCTGGTGGTGGATGGCGTTAACTAGCTGCTTTCTTTCTAGGTTGTCACTGCTATATTAGGGATAGTAGCTTTGTGTGAAATACAAAACAAACCAAACTGATTGAATTACTTGACCTGTTCTAGAAACATGAAGACTTGCTTGCTGATTCACCAGTTCTTCTGAATGATAAAGTTAATTCAGGTAAAAATAATAATGAATGAATAATTGGTGTTAAAGATAAAACTAATAAATAATATTTTGTTTAAATCCTTACCTTGTTTCTTATTTGTAAATGACTTGTATAAAATTGATAATCATTACAGTTAACTTACTTAATCCAGTTCACACCATAACAGTTGTTACTCGTGCAACTGATGAAATAAATAGTTCCTAGACCACAATTATGTCTATTGTAATCCAGCCAGCTTGATGAGCCCTGGTATTGAGTGAAAGGCCCTACCTTGCTTCTTCTTAACTGGTGTAACTAAGTACATTTAAAATTTAACTGACATTGTAAGTCAAAGCATCTAATTTTTTGTAATAGTTTGAAGTAAACTAATAATTTACTAAATGGATGCTACTGAAAAACTTCAAAGTGGTTTAAAAGTAAATGTGATAGGTTTAAATTATATATATATATGAAACTGTAATATATCATAAATTACAAGTGGCATTAATACTGTTTTTCTTTAAATTGTCTTGTGCTTTTGGCAGGCCTGTTTTGATTCTTTAGAACAACAAAGTGCTGAGCTGCAGGGTTAGATGGGTAATCTTATTTAGAAAGCTTTCATGGGAAGCATAGCTTAAGAATTGATTTCTGGGTGTAGTATTTGTAGCATAAATGATCTGGTATATTTTCATCCTAAGAAAGATGTATTGTGTTTAATAATATCTGTAGAAAACCTCTCTCTCCCTTAATTTGAAACAATTTAAGATAATATTTATTAGTTGTATTAGATGACTAGTTTTGGTATCACAGTTACCATCATCAAGGCTTGAGACTACAGTGTTAGCTCCTTTCAATGTACACTGTGAGAATGTTCTAAAAGTCAGTTTGCTGTTTGGTTAAGAGTACTGTTTACTTAGCTTGTGTGATGATATTATGGTAAAATAACTTACAATTTCACACTTCCATAACTAATTTTGTAAGATATATTTAAGTATTTTGTCCATATTTTCATACAGGTATTCTGTACGTAGTTATGGCATTCTCATTAACAGGATATTGATAGAGTCATAAACATGTACTGATACTTTTGTTTAGGTAAATATTATGTATGGCAACAGCAAGCTTAAAGAAGCTTGTATCAGTTTGTCCCAGTGTCCATTTCCAGTGGTAGGGCAGCTCCATCAAATCGTACAGATGGGTATGAGTTGAGGGTTCTCTCCTGTGAATGTCACCTAGTCGGTAATGTAGGTGATCTGTAGATTATGAATACTACACTTTGATCCTTTGTCTGACTTGAAATTGGGGCATAATAAAATTATTTCTATTTTTGTCCTGTATGGAAGTGTCAGGAAATTCTTTCTTGGCTCTAGCAGCCAGTAAATTAACAACAGAAAGTTATAAGCCAGCCAGTTTGGTAAATACACATTTTGATCAATAAGGATTTTGTTTATTTGTTCACTTGTGTTTGTTTTCCATTTATTGTTTGATTTATTCTTTACATTTTTGGAACTTACCATTTTATTAAAATGTAGCTAGCAGTGGATCTCAGTATACCTGAATACCATACTGACTGGTTACTTTCCCACTGGCCAGTTGTTCTAAATTAGGGATGTAGAAAGGTATTTTGCCATCTGAGGCAAAATATGAAAATATACTATTGTGTTTGTATATTGATAATCTCACTGAAAATAGGGTACATTATTTTACATTGAATAACATGTATATTTATTATTATATGCAAAACA